GCTCCGCGGCTGCGGGGCGGCTCCTTGGCCGAGGTCGTGTCGAAGAGGGAACTGCTCCATGAGCGCAATTTCTCGGCGTTCCGCGCGGGTTTCCTGGATCGGCGCTGTGCCCCCCCTGGCTGGGCCTTCGGCGCCGCCCCTGGCGCGCTCCGCGCGCCAGGGAGGGGGGTCCAGCGCCGATTCACGAAATCCGCGCGGTCCTGTGAGAGATGGTGTGTCTGCCGTGTATGTTTTCTCTGTCCATGTCCATGTCCACGGCCGTCGTTTTTTTTTCTGTATGTATGTCTTCTCTGTCGTCGGCAGGAAACATGTCCATGTCCACGGCCACGCGGGCCAGGCCCCTGGGCCGCGACCCCATGTATATTGGGCGGTCTGTCGCGGGCGTCTTGCGCAGTGTGTATTCATGCGACCGCGTGTCCATGGGATGGCGTCCTGGAAGCCAGATCGCGAGGGCGTGGGTATGGATGTGTTCGCCACTCGTGATGGGGTTTTGCCGTTGCGGTCGCATGGCGGAGTTGCAGAGTGCTCTTGGCTCTCCAGCCAATCACGTACCCTTGTGACCGATTGGGTAGGTGACGCCCAAGTGTTTGGGCAAGGAACGCAGCCGCTTCTCGGGGGCCTCACTTGTGCCCAGCTGCGCGGAGGAGCGCCCGACGAAGTCTCCAGACAGGGCCCGAGGACATCTAGAGTCTCTGCCGGAGCCAACTGGTTCAGAACTTTGGACCGTACCGTCCCTGCCCTGGCCAGGGCCAGAGCAGGGGCGGTATGAGGAGGAGGAGGAGGCGGAGGAGGAGGAGGAGGCGGAGGAGGAGTCGGAGGAGGAGGAGGAGGAAGGGGAGGGAGGAGGAGGAGGAGGAGGAGGAGGAGGAGGAGGAGGAGAAAGAGGAGGAGGAGGGACGAGGAGGAGAGGAGGAGGAGGAGGAGGAGGAGGAGGAGGAGGAGGAGGAGGAGGAGGAGGAGGGAGAGGAGGAGCAAGAGGAGCGAGAGGAGCAGGAGGAGCAGGAGGAGAAGGAGGAGCAGGAGGAGGAGGATGGAAGGAGGAGGAGGCGGAGGAGGAGGAGGAGAAGGAACAGGCAACATATGAGCAAGAAGAAGACGAATACTAATGAGAAGAAGAATTTGAAGAGAAGGACGACAAAGTCGGCCTGGTGCACTTGTGCTCGGCGACGCCGCGCACGCTGCCTCCAGGCGACAGGCCCATGGTTCACGTAGGTTCGCCGTGCGTTTTCGGCCACAACTCCGCGATCAACGTGTCTGACCTGGCCGGGCCCGCGCCTGCGGGGCGAGCCGGGGCGTCTAAGAGCATGCTGCTCTTAGACGTGCAGGGGTTTGTTGAGGCTCGCTAGAAGGGCGCGCGGGCGCGGCGCGCCCCAGTGGTGGGGGCGCCAACGTCCGGGCAGCGGCTCGACCAAGGCAGTGGCGGTAGACCCCAATTCGGAGACCGAGTCGGAGCCGAGCGAGGACGTGCGCGACGCGGACAGGATCGCCTTCTGGAGTACCGGATGTGTGCAGGTGCTGTGCCAAGGGTTGTCGGGGCTGGTTGAGGACGCCGCCATCTTCGACGTGCGTGGATCCCCGGAGGCGAATGGCGCTCGCTCGTGCAGGGCCTGCCCGTTCCACGCCCAGTCCTACGAGGCCCAGGCAGCTCAGTGGAAGCGTGCCCGCTCCAATTGCTTCCGCGAGAAGACTACCGACAAGGGCGGCTCCCCCCCCTGCGCTGCGCGCGCGGCAGATCGGGTAGTGGGCCGGCGCGGCCTGTCAACCACGCCACATCCGGGGGGCAGCAAGCGGCAGGAGAGGAGGCAGGGCACATAATCTGAGCGGCCGCCATCGGCTACGCGCAGGGGCAGTCCAGCAGCCAAGGTTGCTGCGGACGCGGCGTGGCTGGTGCGCGTGCGGGCCCCCCTTGGCTGATTCGGCCGCGGGTTGGTGAGCTTACTGCAGCTTTCCAGCCAAGTTCGCGGGCCCCTCCCGAGGCGTGGACGACGACGACCCCGGGATAGTCGTTGAGGCGGCGGGGTTGAATGTCATTTTCTCTATTCCAGACGACGCTCTACCAGCGCCAAGGGCCGAGCTGCTCGACGAGCTCATCCGCGATCAGCCCCCAGCCATCTGCTGGTAGGCGGGGGTGGCCTCGCGCTTGTCTGACTACGGCGACGGCGCGAACTACGGGGGCGACAGTCTCAGCCGCGCCTCCGCGGCCGCGATCATGCGCGACAGGGGCCGGCACCACCTGGCGAGGCGAGCGAGGTCCAGTAGCAGGAGCGCCACGCCGACCAGGTGGAACGCGAAGGACGACGAGAAGCTGAGGCGAGCTGAAGAGAAGGACGAGGCGCAGCGCCGCGCAGACCCGTGGGCCGCACTCATCGAGGGGCATTTGCTCAGGAGGGCCGAGGGCCAGTCGGATGGCAGTGCGAGGCGTGCCATGACCACAAGCCCGCCTGCCCGCGCTCGCACAAGCCCACTGGCAAGGTCTGCCTCTTGGACAGGGCGCAGATGCAGCTCATCCGGCTAGGCGGCATCATGGGTGGCCCGAAGGTCGGTTCGCATAAGGAGGCAGATTGGAAGTTGGGCGCCCTCAGGGAGGAGCAGGAGGCAGAGGGCGACTCCAAGAAAGTCGGCGGGGCCGCAGGGCACCCGCCGGCCGCGGGGCCGAAGGCCAAGGCGAAGCCTAAGTCTAGCGGGCCGAAGGTGGGGGGGCGCACACCTGAGGACGACAAGGTCGACCCCCGCGAAGCGGCAGAGGGTGCAAGCGCTGACCCGAGCACTCCTCAGGGTGGACACCCCTAGCCGCCGCAGCCAAGTTGCGAGACCTCCAGGCCCAGATATGGACGCTGACACGAATCGAGGGGATAAAAACGGGGACCATGGCCAAGATGTCGCTGGATTTTGTCGATGCCGATCTTGGTCGCGGTCCATGCTGGCCGTCGCCGATGCGTGAGGATTTTCCGCGAATCGACGCTCACCAAGACCGACGCAGACCACGATGAGCAGGGCATTCGTGCGTTTTGTCTTGGTCATGGTCCCCGTTCTTTTTCCTTCCGTCAACCGGACACATGGCAGAGATCTATCGGCGAAACACGGCCAACGTGCACTGAGGGCTCCGGCCACCCCGCGCGGGCCCTGAAGGGCCCCATCCCCCAGCGGTGCCGCGCGCCTCGCCTCGCCTCGCCTCTCCCCCCCCCCGCGGCAGCTGGAGAGCTCGACGGGCGCCGCCTGAGAACGGAGGCACAACTGTTCCGACCAGCTCTCCGTGGGCCACGTTACTTGCCCTGGGGGTGCAAAGAGGCAGTGTTTCAGTGGTGGGAAAGCTCCGAGGCGGGGGTTTATCCATAACCACCGCCTGGGGGATCGATTCTCGCGGACATCCACAGGCGGCGGATACGGATATCTTCGGGCCGCTAGGGGCCAAACTATATCCATATCCACCGCCCGCTGGGTCCCCAGGATGTCCTCTGCTAGGCGGCGGATATGGATACATCCCCGCCTCACAGAAGGTACCCACACCTCTACCTGTTCCTCGTTTCCTCCTTTTTGGGTCTCCTGGGAGGCCCTCGTCGCCACCGCTGGATTCGCCCCGAGCTCCTGGTCAGGGCGCACCCCAGTAAATGTCTGGGGAGTAGCGGTATCGGGTATCGGTACCTCTTGGTTTCCCCACGAAGGGCCTGGTCTGGACCATATTGGGGCCGACTTGGGATCATCAGGGCTGGGGTTGGTCAGGGGTAGCTTCTGATTCGTGCTTCGGGGGCCCCGAAAAGTTAGAGCTGTCTTGGACTGGAAACATTTTAGGTAATTCGGGCACCCAACCGCTCCCGAAGAATCGGGGCTGTTGGTGGCCAAGGATATTTCCTGGTCTGCGTGCCGGAGGCCCAAGCTGGGATGTAATCCACCCAGGCTGGAATTATCCGGGATACCTTGGGCGTCCAAGCTTTTTGAAGGTCTCGGGCTGTGTTGGGGGCCGCGTGGAGTGTCCCTCCAGGGGTGCTCCTGGCGCTGCTCTGCATCTTCACATCGAGGTTATTTTGGGTTGAGGTGCCTCCGAGTAGAGTACATCGACGCTCACTGGGTGTGTCGCTGTCCTGCTCGCGTACTTCTCGTTAGCTTGGCGGGGCCTCTTGGGGGGGTGTTGCTAGGAGTGCCCCTGGCCTGAGGTTTTCCCAGGATGTCCAAGGAGGCACCTACGGCCTCCAGAGCACGCCTCAACAGGCCCAGGGGGCCCAAGGGGCTCCAACATGAGCGAAAAGCTGGGGGTACCCTGGGCTGGAGGAGAAACCACCCGGACCCGATAAATGGCGTCAAACGGCCCTGGGCGTTTGCTAAACAGCCCTGCCCTGTTCGATTCCTGCTGTGGATGCGTGATCGGGGCTGATGATTCTACCAAGGGCTTCGCGTGTCGGGGTGATGATTCTGAGGGTGGATGTTCTGCTCTCTGGTCTTGTCGATTTTTGAGGCCGCATTGAAGCTCCCTTGGGGCATGTCCGTCAGTCTACAGTGGAGGCCCATGCCAAGAGACACCCTGCTCGCCTCCAGGGTACCCTGGGTTTCTTGCGTTTCGATGGTTTTGCTATGGGAACCTTGACGTGCCCACACCAAAAATCCATGGACGCCCTGAGGTCTCAGGGTTGGGTTTATTGTGGAAGGTTTCTTGTGGTCGGGGCCCTACTGTATCGTGGGGGGTCCGTGGCGGGGGTCGCCCCATAGAGCGTGCGAGGCCTGTCAGCAGTGCAGCGCGCTCCGTGGCGGGTCCGCCGGCTTCGGTGGCGTACTGTGCAGACCTGCGGCGCCATGGCGAAGAAGGCGGCGGCGGCTGCGGGCGCAGGGCGTGCCGCGTCTACCGATTGGCATGCCACGCGCGTGATGAATCAGGGGAACGAAGAATTACATAACCATAACAATTCGGAGGGCCGCGCGGATTTCTCGGATCGGCGCTGGACCCCCATCGCTGGCGCGCCCCGCCCGCCAGGGGCGGCGCCTGAGGCGCCGCCAAGGGGGTCCAGTGC